TATTGCTACTTGGGTTTATGTTATATAACAATTTTTTCTTAGAAGAACAAATATACTTGGCGCCTTTTTTTAAAAATTCTTACCCGTTTGCGCCAATCTTCCCAGCTGAAGTTAGCAACGCGATCCAACTCTTGAATATAATTATATTTATCCTGCAAACGGCGTTGTCGTTCCCACGCTAGCATCCAAACGTGACGCCACTTATCCCAAAGAAGCTTGACTCTCGGACTGCGGAATTCCGGTTCGGCTCCTTTGCTGTTTAGGAAGAAAAAAAATATATATATATATATTTATACATGAAAAATATATGTATATATAATACATAAGAATTAAAAATGTTATCTTATTAAGGTAATTAATCACAGAGATAATTTCAAGAAAAAGGTATAACAATGAGGTATAATCTCCGCATAAACAACTCAATAACAAATTCAAATGTAAATGTTGCAGAAAATCTAAGACTTCACACTTTCAGTACAAGACAATTTTCTGAACGAACAGTAACAATTTATCAAAACCCGACTACATGTCATCCCGCCAAAAAATTAAAAAAAAAACCAATACCGAGATATTAATGAGTTGATAACGATAAATGTAGCAATGCCTGTATGATTCGGATGAAAATGGTGGAATGGCGCAGAATGAAATAAAACTAGATGTAACGAACCTTCCTTTGGGTGGGAAGCGTGGACCGATGTGTGGCAATGAAAGATCTGGTGTTCTGTCACGACCTGGACTGCCTCGGCTAAACAGGAACATGCGTCACATCACTCAAACATTCTCTACTAAATAAGGCACCTATAAAACGCTTTTTTTCGCGTCTCAATACAGCACTCTGGTTTATAGATTGTTTTTCGTTTATGAGTATTAGATTATAAAAGTATAGAAAATTAACGCAATTTTTATCAAGTGTCGATTCTTACGTACATGTGGAAATTATATTTGATATAAGTATCTAAAAAAAGTCAGTTTCACATCATGTTGAAAAAGAGTTAATCATATCTTAAAGCTATATGTTTGCATTATAATAACATAATGTATAATAAAAAATGCAAAAGAACGTATTAGCTGCCTTCAGCAGAAGAAGCACTTTTGCATTGTTGTAATATTCTTTAATATAGTTGATTTATACTTTTAAATCCAGTGGGAAATTAAGACCATGATCATATTAAAGAATTTTACAATAATGGCAAAGCTTGATTTTCTGTTGAACGGTTGCATACAGCTAATGTATCTGATTTTCTTAACACAGTGCATTGTGAACAGTAATAAGTTTATGCATGTAGTAGTCACACACGAGTGAAAAGTGAGTTAATACACCTAAACTTTTGCTTCTGTTGCTGGATATTATTGCGAAATTGTTATGCGAACAAGAATTATCGTGTGATGAGAATGTTGTGTATTCAATATTATAAAAAATCATACAAAAATAAAACGCATACATTTCTACTGAAAATGCATAATAGCATAAACACAGAACACTGTACTTACGAAATAATAACGATTAGGATAAGTGGAAAATATTTACATATGTTATGATGGACAACGCACCTTTGTTTACGAGGTTGAGGCTGCTCATGCTCGTTATCCTGATAGAGATCCTTACTGAAATTCCATTGCAAAAGCAACATATCATGCGACAGTTAAATACACACAATATACAAAATTCAATATATAAAAGATGACAATAACTGCGAGCATCTAGCAAAGTAAAAGATTCTTTTAAAACATGATCTGAAAATTTTCCTAAAATTGCAATGTGCACATAGCAAAATTTGTGAGAAACAAGTTAAAATAATTAACACAGATACAAATGCAATACGGATATAAACAGAATGCAAACAACATTTAACGATTTGAACATGAAGTAAGCATAATGATACACAATGCTGTGCATATTATCCATTATGTAGGTATTCATATTTCTTCACAAAAACAGAAAGGATTTTAATTGTATCAATATATTATATAAATTCTCGCATTGATAAATACGTACGTAGGTGCTGGTGATCTGACTTTCGATATTTTCCTCGCATCTTTTATTGGCTTAATTTGTCGGGCTTTGCACACGCGATCAACCTCGTTTTGTCTTCGGCTGGTGTTCTCCATAAATTCTCTGTGATCCGCGATAAGCATTTCGAGCGTAGCTCTATCATCAGGCAAAGGTTCCGCTTCTAAGGCATTCAAAGTATTCTCCAAACCTTCGAGCCAGGCTAATAACTCTTCGAGAAGATTATCAAGATCCTGCAAATTCACACGTAACAACAATATTCATTTCGTCTATAAAAAAAATGTGACTTATATATAAGATATTTAGTATAGTACAAACCTGCAGTCCCTGCATATGATTTTCCAGTCTTTGATTTCTTTGGTAGGCCCATGTTGCCATTTCTTCCCATCTAGACTGAATAATTGTGATCCAGTGTTTGATAACTGCGGCACCGTCAGGATGCGCTTTTCCAAGAATAATGTGTGCCAATTCTAATGTGTTGTCTTTTTCAATTTCCTTAGTTTGTAACTCGCGGAGGAATCTCTGATGCTCCATTAATTGATTCCTGCTCTCCTGCTCATCTTCCGGCAGTGGTCCAGCGAATCGTAGCTTCATCTCCGCGTCACTCAACCATTCCAGTAGCATATGAACGGCTTTATGAAGCCGTTCAGCCTCTCTAAGAGCTTCTTCCAATAGTCTGGACTTCTTCGTCGAGAGACTGGTTACTCTATCCCAGAGACTATTTAGTTCAGACAATTGTGATCTGATCATTGACGCATCTTCAATAGAGGCTTTAGATTCCAATTCGCGACCAGTTTTAATGACGGATTCCATTTGTGAGGCGCGTAATTCCAGATCTCTTTCAAAGTTCCTATGTTGCTCCACTAAATTGGTTACCGTATCCAGGTCACCGTAAAGTGATCCAGGATTGGCCAAATATTTTTCGGTCTTGCTCAACCATTCCAACAGCGCCTGAATCGCATCCTTGAATTGTCCGGAGAATAATAAGGCTTCCTCCAATTTTCGTTGTCGATCCACGCATTTACCGCAGACCGTCGTCCACTTATTTTTCAACTCATTTAGAAGTTCTCTCAAGGCAGGTTCATCGGATTTCGGCGCCTTGTCCTTCAACGTTTTGCCGTTCTTCATGGTATTGTCATACGTGCTCTGCTTAGCACTCAGTGCCTTTTGTATCTCGCGGTGTCTGTTAAGACGTGATTTAATCTTGTCTGGATCATTGCCGCCAAGTCCATCGGCAGCGACTTCATCCAAAATCTTTTCGGTGTCATCCAACCAGTTCATCAGGTTCGACCAGCTGTCGTGGAATTCTCTAGCTTCCTTGTAACCGTGATCTAAAGCCCTCGTTCTCTCGGCTGACTTGGAAACTACTCGTTCCCATCTGTGTTGCACACTCACGAGCAAGTTTCTTATAAGAATCACATCTTGTTTTTGAGAGAAGTATTTGAGATGAGTTCCTTTTTTGTCAAGATTTAGCATAGTTTCGCGATGGACACCGACATCCTTTTGGAAGGCTTTGTGTTCTTCGATTTGTTGAAGTATAGTTTCCATGACCCTCGAGACCGGTCGAAGATTCGTCAGGATCTTTTCAGCATTTGTCAACCAATCGACGAAAGCTTGTAACGCGTCGTGGAACTCAGTGGCCTCCTTCAGAGCAATTTCTAACTTTATCTTCTTATCGCTGGCACGCGAAAGCACATTATCCCATTTTTGCTTCAACGTTCGCAGATTGTGATTTAATCCACCGGCACTGCTCGTATCCGCTTTCTTCAAATATTCCTGTCCTTGTTGCAGTACCGTTTCAACTTTCGGACGATTTTGTTCCAATTCGTTAAACACCTCCATAAAACGTTCCAACTGTTCAGATGCAGTCTCGGGTAATCCACCAACTGGTTTGGATGCTACTATCATATTATCCACGTCGCCTAACCACGATAACAAGTCCTGTATCTCAGCAGTGAAGGATTGTGCCTCTCGTAAGGCATCTTCTAATTCTCGCTGGCGATCAGCGGCGCGTTGCAGTAGATCTCGCCAACGACGATTCAAAGTGCCTAGTTTATCGGCTGTAGTAGACGCTTCTGCAGTACCTTTACCATCCTCAATCAATTGTCGTCCAGCATCATTTAGAGTGTCGACGCTCGTCTGATGAGCTTGTATATCATTTACTAGGACTTTCAGCTTGGCCAATTCGACTTCGATCACTTGTGGATCACCTGCCACTGGTCTGAGATTATCCAATGTCTTATCTGTTTTCTCGATCCATACTAATAGTTCATCCAAAGCGTGCTGGAATTGACCGAGTCGTAATAACGCATTCTCCAGTAATCGCTGCCTTTCCACCAAACCTCTCAGTAATCCGTCCCATCGTTTATTCACGGCACCGAGCGGTTCCTTGATAGCTGCTGCTTGTTCGGAGGATGTTCTTTCCGTTAATTCAGCTGCTTGTCTAGATATGAAAAAACGATAATAATGTTAAAAAATGCATCATTATTTTTCTTGATATTATATAGAAACGTATATGTTGCAATATACTCGAATCACACAACAATGAACCACATCTACAGGGAGGACGGGTATAAAAATTTCAATGAGTTTAACTACCGGAGGAATTAATATCAACTGGATATTAATCACTGCCGTTTCCATATTATTTCTATCAAAAAAATATAAATTATATTATCATCTACGAATTCTCGTGATTGATCACTCGGTTTACCTGCTACATGCGGCTGAGTAATCTGCCTTGAGGTAACATAAAGAGGGAGGATCCGATTAAATGTGATGACGCAAATTGTTAAGGGGCAGCAAGATTATTAAACTAAACAGGGGGAATAAACACGTTCAGAACAATACGAAGCCATGCTCTAACTACCAGCGACAACACAGAGAGAGATTAACTTGCCTTGTCAGACTCCTATGTTCGGGAACCGGCACAGAAAAACAAAAGAGATGGGATTAGATTTTACATTTTCTCGAAGGTCACTCATTGCAAATAATTATCGGACGGGAGTTGCACAAAGGGGACAATGCTGCGCACTGAACTCTTTGTAACGCCATTTACATATAAATTCTTAACTTAATTTTTAACTTAAAAATTAAATCGTCACCTGTTCAACGCCTCGACCTTCACCATATGCGGATCCACTTCGGCCTTGAAATTGGCCAGCTGCTTGATCTGCTTTTTCACCTCGTCAATATCACTACCAAGTGGGCCCATCTCTGCAAATCTATCTTCGGCTTCTTGCAAGAACTCCAATAGGTTCTGCAGCGTCTCGTGGAACTCCATCGCTTTCTCCATGGCGTCGATCAAATTCTCCTCGCGTCTGGCGTACAGAGCGGTGACGTTGTCCCAAGCCTGATCTAAATCTTCAATGTGTTTTCGTACTTCAGGTTTATCCGGCTCGCCGCACAAGCCCATCAATTCATGTCCTGATGTTCGGACTTGCTCAACATCTGGCTTGGTCTGATCGATCTCTTGTCGAATTTCTTGCAACGCTACTTGCTGTTGCTGGATAGCAGCTGGTTGAGCTGCCGGTGGCGCCTGTCCAGCCAGCGCATCTTGCAGTTCTCTTAAAGTGGCCATGACTCCGTTCAACTCGGCCCAGAATTTTTCGGCGACGGCTAGAGTGTCATCTAAAGTGTGACCGCGATCGGTCGTAGCCTTTTGGACGTCGGTCCATAATCTGTTAAGTTTATCCAGCTTGCGTTTGATGTCTTTCACTGCCGGATCGGCCCTATTGCCGGCCTTGCTAATCACATCGTCCGCTGCTTTTTTAACAGCCGCGTAAGCCTCAGATCTCTGAGCAAGATCGTCTGCTAAGGCGGCATTTTCTTCCATCTGGTCGCGTAAACGAGCCGGATGAGCACTGATAGGTTCAGCACCGTTCACTTGATCGGCAGTAGAAGACAATGCGCGCAGCATACCTTCCAGTTTATCAGAGAACTGAGAGGATTCCTGCAATGCCTGCTCCAGCGCTTGTTGCCGGCCTCTTAGCTCGGCTCTCAATGCCGCATAGCGAGCGTTATCATTGTCCAAGATATCTTGCACTTTTATACCTTCTTCTTCGTTGCACAACTTAATGAGCGCTTCACCGGTCTTATTGAGCTTCTCCACCAGAGGTTTATGCTCGTTTATGCTCTGTATAAGAAGCTCATTTTTGTCCTGTTGCGCCGCTATCAAGTCAGGCCGCAAGGCGGGCATAGGTAACATAGAGACTTGTTGTTCAGCCTCCTCGAGCCAGCTGACCAGGCCAGCGTGAGTATCGCGAAGATGTTCTGCTAATGGTAGAGCTTGCTCAAGAGCTCCCAATCTGTCTGTTGATAAAGCTGATACAATTTCCATTGTTTCGCGCAAATCTTCCATCTTATCTCTGATAGTAGATGTGTCTTCATGCTGAGTATTTTCGCGTATTACTTTCTTTGCAGTCGAAATAACATCACGAACTCTACCTTTCTGACTGGATATATCATCATTAAGTGCTTTATGTTCTTTCAATTGTACTCTAATAATTTCAGGCTCGCTGCTGGGCGGCTCAGCCTCTCGAAGTTGATTGTCCACTTCTCTAAACCAATCGAGCAGATCGTCGATATCGCCAATCACCTCCAAAGATCGCTGTTTGCTCAATTGAATTCTTTCTGCTTTTCTTTGGATCTGTTCGGCAATTGCATCGAATCGTCTGTTGTCCCTAGTTACGAGACCTTCGATTGTCGCAGCACCTTCTCCCGGCGACATTTGACACAGCTGTGGACCTACAGCGTTGATTTTGTCCAAGACGGGTCTATATTCCGATATCTCCATCTCGAGGCGGATAATCTCTTCCTCACGAGGTTCAGCGGACTGCAAAGCAGCCTCCGCGCCTTGCATCCAATCCATCAGACGATTGTGATTATCATGGAATTGTTGCACCAATGGTAAAGACTCTTGGGCATGTTTCAAAAGATCTGAGCCGCGCGTGACAAGATCATTAAATCGTCGTTGCAGAGAGTCCAACTTGTCCTTCAGTTGAAGTGCTTCGTCGCTTGAGATGTGTTTCATCAATTCTAGGCCGGAATCTACGGTACTGTCGACTTCCGTTTGTCGCGTGGATACTTCTTCTGTAAGATCCGCGAGATCTTCCATTTGTTGTAAAAGCTTCTCCGTATGTACAGCCAAGATGCGATACTTCGACAATCGGATCTCCATGTTCTCCATCCATGCTTGTAAATCTTGATACGTGAGAACCAAATGACGTAAGCCTTGTCTCGAACGTTGTAATAAGCTACCGAGAGCTTCGGATCGTTCAACCAAAGCTGCGTATCTATCTGCCGCATCCTGAAGTTTATCAGCCAATGTAGTAGCCTCATCTTCGCCTACCAACGACATAAGTTGGCTAGCTATCTCCGTGAGTTCACTAAAATCTGGTGTTTTCGATATAATATCCTCATGAAGTATATCATGTTCATTGACACGCTGTTGTATTTTCTCTTCGTCGGTAGGAACCAATTCCATGTCCCTGACTTTCTTCTCTGTCTTGTCCAACCAGATAGTAAGTGGTACTAACTTATCTTGGAATCGCTTCGCTACCGCCATTGCTTGCTCAAGAGCATCCATCCTCTCCGCAGCGCTTTCTGTCAGATTATCAAATCTGCCCACTAGATCATTCAATTGTTTCTCAATGGCTTTACGCTCCTTTGAGTCCGCATCGGCGGCTACTTCTCGTCCCATATTGTAGAGAGACGTCATAGAATTTTGTCGGTCCATTAACATCTTCTTCAGGAATTTCTGTTCTTGCAGTTGCGCCTTCACGACTTTATAATCTGAAGAAGGTGGCTTTTGATTCGAAACCATCTCTTCTGTATCGGTCAACCATTTCGCTAAGCCATCTAAAGCCTCTTGGAACTTGCCCGACTGCAATAATCCAACATCCAATTTGCGATCGCGCTCGTTCAGCTAAAAAAAAAAAAAATTATTAATTAAATAATAAAATAGTGTATGCTGTTAATTTTCGCATAAATATATCGAATAAATATATACATTCCTTAATATTTAAATCGAATGCTTACTCTATCTTTTAAGTCGTTCCATCTTTCGTTCATTTTATCGACGTCTTTTTCAATATTATTGGTATTGACATCTCGTCCTGCAGTTTGTATGAGACCTTGACCGAGCGCGTTACAATCTTCAACGGCGTGTGCTAGTGGTTCAATCCTTTTAATTTTGAGAATTCTGAAATCCTCTTGCTGAGCTTTAATAGAATCCACTTCGGATCCCACAGGTTTAAATCTTCTGACTTGTTCATTTGCATCATTGATACCCTCCATAACATTTGCGTGCAATTGATAGAACTCTTGTAATTTGTTTAAAGTAGAAGTGAGTTCATCTTCTCTGTTACGCGCTCGCTCATCCAGTTTACCAATTTGCCGTTTAAATCCGTCAACCTGATCTCTTGTGGCTACAGCGTCAGCAGCGAAGCCATAATCAACCAAACGTTCGCCACGATTCTCCAGATCGCCAATTTCTTCATAGAGTTTGTTAATTCTGCTAACAATCTTGGCAATATCTTCTAATTGTCCTCTTACAATCTTGATTTCTCTACCGGGTGCTTTCATGGAATCTAGATCTTTTTCAAGAGCAGACAGATGTTGATTAATCAATTTTGCTTGATCATTAAATTGCGCGACCGCTGTCGCTGCACTTTGTAGTTCGTTGCATCTGTCATCTAGTTTCGCTTGCAGATCGTTAATACGATCAGTAACATTGTCAATTTCATCTTGTAAATGTGTCGCATCGACGCCTTGCTCGCCAGCTTTGTTCACAAGATCATTAGCCTGTTGTCTTACACATTGCAAAGGTTTCTTCAAGCTCGTTGTTTCCTCTCGCAAGTTCTAAAAATTACATAATTAATATATATTTTGTATTAATTGCAGTTTTTATTTTATGCGTGAAAATATAATAAATCTAATTACCTTTATTCTATCAAGCAACTTCGGATCTTTAGCCGCTCCGCCAAGAGCATCGTGTGAAGCTAACTTATCTTCACAACGTTGTAAACCATGTTGCAAATCGCGTAAGTTTTCATTGAAATCCATTAAGTGACGTGCAGTATCTTCCAAAGATTGTGTTCTAGATAGCAAGTCTACAAGAAATATATAAATATTAAATTAAATTATAATATTATATAATAATTATAATATTATATAATACAACACGCAAGTTTAAACTGTAATAAATTAGGATATAATTACATAGCGAATTTAAACATACCATTATTTAATTTATCCCATCTAGTTTTCATAGCACTAAGCTCGTTCTTTACATTTTGCTTATCAATATCACAAGCTCCGACAAATGTCTCGCCTAGCATCTTGTTATTTTCGAATTCTCCAGAATGTTTCCATACTTCGTTTCTAAACGATGATAATTCTTTCAGTTGTTTCTCGATGTCTTTGCGTCTAAAGGAAGTGGGAATCAAACTATCCAATTTATCCTCGGCTTGTCGAAGCCATGGAAGAAACACATCTTGAGCTTTATAGTATTTCTTGCAATGTTCCGCGCAGGTCTGCAATCGAGTGTGCCTTTCGACAGTATCTTTCTTCAAACGGTCCCACTGTGATTGCATCTTATCCAAATCACGTTGAAGCGAACGATTTTCAGTTTTCTGAGATCGCGAAAGTATGTCGCGTCCTTTGTTCAACAGCATTATGACTTCATGCTCTTTACCCATCACATTACGATAAACAGGCTAAAAATTATGTTTTGTTTTTATCAATAAAATAAAATTAAGAAGATATGAAACATAATTAAACATAGAATTTTTTAAATATGATACATACCTCATGATGATCAAGTTGCTGTTGCAGTATTTCTCTATCAGCAGACACTAGCAGTTTTTCAGACATATTTCCAAGTTCGTCCGCAAGCCATCCCAGAGTTCTGCTACAGGAGGCCTCGAATTGTCTTCCATCTCGCAGATTACCTTCGATTTCTGCTTTTCTATGATCCAGCTTCTTCTGCAAGTTATTGTACATCTTGCCGACTGTGGTGAGCTTTCCTTGAATCTCGGATCTCGATGCTGGATCACTTAGAACTTCACACAACTGTGCACCGGCCATTTCCACATCTGCTAACAATGGTCTCTGACCTTCCAATTGTCTTTCCAGATTCTCGATCTTACGAAGCTGTTCTTCGGGATCCTTCTCAAGACTCAACTCGTCTAAATTATCTGAGATTCCTTGTAGAGCGTCTCGCAGCCGGTTAAGGCTGGCATCGAATTCACGACTAGTGTCAACAGCGTCACCTAAACTCTGAGCTCTTTCGTCTAGTCTTCCCATTTGATCTGCCCATCTCTGTAAAATATTCTGCAATTTCGCATTTATCTTCTGACCATCTATCGAATCTATGGATATTGTGACGAGAATACTTTCTCCGATTTGTACGAGATGTTCCAATTGCGGTTGCTGAGTTCTAAACTCCTCTCGCAAAACCTGTACTTGTTGCACTTGACTTGCGACCATGCGAGGATCAGCCGAAATTGGTCCTAAAGCGCCTAGCATACGCTCTTTAGCGCCAAGCCAAGAGTTAAGACCATCATATGTGTCATAAAAATCTTTAATATCTTCCAGGAATTTAATTCGGTCTTTGCATCTGTCCGAAATTGATCTCCACCGACTAGCAACGTCTTCCATCTCGTCGTTCAATCTATCCACACCGTCAGCTCCTTTCTTACGTCTGACCAAATCACGCACTTGCGTTCGAGTACTATCCAGCAGAGATTGCTTTTCGTACATCTCCTCAATGAGAACCTTAACTTGTTTGACCGTTTTGTCCGCATCATCTTTAGTTGCAGGCATGCTTTCTTTAGGCAATTGCCGTTGAATCTAGTGAAAAAATTATGTATTATACTCGCTATATAATATTTTTTGCAATGTGTATTCAAATATCAAATATACATTACAATTAAAAATATAACGTTATTCTAAAAAATAACTATTACCTTATCCAAGAATTGTGAAAGTGTTTTCAGATGGTCCAAATGTTTCTTCAATTCCTCCCTAATATTATCTAACTCCGTTTGGCGATCCGACAATCTGACACCGAGTAATCCGTATCTGTGATTAATTTCCGAAAGTTGCTGTTGAACAGGCGATAATTCTTCGAGATGGAAACCATCTTGGCTCGAACGACGGCTGCTGAATCCACTGCTACCACCTGGGGAGACCGGACTTTGAACTGCGTAGGATTTAGTGGGTGACGGTGAGCGACCGTCTTGTGACATTCGCAGTACTACAAAAAAAATGACAGAAAAAAAACGATCAAATGTAATGAAAATAGCAATGATCATGTGCTGAAAAAGATGCAATGTGAAAGATATATGAGCTAGTTATTGTAATTGATAAGTTACTAAATTCGTAACAATTGATTTGCAAAACATCAACATGCAAAGTTTGCATTATAAAGTCATGCCATAGAAAAGTATCTATGCAAAATCGTAGATGTAATAATAGCAAATACCTGGTCTCTTCGTCGGACTAGCACTGCCACGTCGACGCGTTGGACTTTCTCCGCGTTCCTTCATCAAACTGTCATAAGCAATACCGAGATCATTGATTTTATCAACCGTATTGCCGTAATCGCGATATTCTTTTTGTATAGGCTTCAAATCCTCTTGCTGTATTTTCAATTTGTCCAAATCTACGGCGACTGGCTCAAGTTCTTGCACCTTGTTTTCTGTACGAGTAAGCCAATCAAGTATTTGATCCCGTAACTTCTCATAGGCTGTGTGTTGCTCCGCTCTAGATTTGCACAATCGTTGTTTCTCGTCGAGCAGATTATTTAGTTCCTTCCACTGAGACTCAAGTGCTTTGATCTTATCTCTAATCGCGCCTGCTTCGGTTATATCCTTCTTAGAAATCAGATTCTTCCCATTACGTATGAGATCTTCAAAGTTTCCACGCTGATCCTCGCGCATGTCAATCAGTTGAGCCATCTTAGCTTCATACTCTGACATATCAAGCTTGTTCAGATCTCTCGAATCGAGAACTTCCATCATATGCGCATACCAATTCTCGAACTTGGCCACGTCTCCGAGGAATTCGTTCAGGGCTTGCGCGATTTCATCCAGAAATTCCCCGCGCCTCAAGGATTTATCCATCAATTTTTCAAATCTACTTTGCACATCCTTTAACTTGCTTTCAATACGTTTAGCAATGCGAACGTTGCTCGAATTCAAGAGCAGATCCTGAGCATTCGCTGTAATAGTTTCTACGCTCAAACGATGACTATCCAGGTCTGCTTGAAGTAATCGCTGTTCTCTTTGTTGTTCCTCCAAGCGTTCCTTCTGCAAACTTGCTGGACGCTGAAGCGATCTATAGAATATACGATTTGTTAAAATATAGTTAAGATAAAGATAAGTTTAATTCAGAAATGATATAATTGTATATCTTCTATACTTACTTAAATTGACTTTCAACATTGTTCAACCATGCAACCAGACTGTCCAATGCATCCTGCACTCCTTGACTTCTTACTAACGCTGTGTCAAGTTCTTGACATTTATCAGCCAGAGCATTACTGAGTTGTTTGTATTTATCTTCTACTGCCCTCACTGGTTCCTCAAGCTCCCTAGCCTCGTTGATCGTTAGTTGGCCTTCCAAAGAATGTAACAGCGCCTCAACGCTATGTTTAGCATTGTCGATTAGACGTTCATTAGCAAGGAATTCGTTGTTCAACGCTTTAGCTTTGCTCAATTGATCCTCTACTTGTTTCGGTTCCGCGGCAACAGATTCGGAAATAACTCTAATAACTTTCGGCTCAACGTCTCTCAACCACGTTCTAGCTTTGTCTAAAGAATCGTGATAATCTCTCTGTTTGCCGCCAACTCCCGACAATCTGTCTGACAGGAGATTCGCTCGAGATAATAGATCTTTGTATCGAGCAGTTGCATTGGATACTTCGGCTCGTACCGGTGAATCTTGGCTAGCTGTGGGTTCTTTATGTGGCAATCTTTGCGGTAAGCTGGTCCTAAAGTCGTTAAGAACTTGGAGATACTCTTTACTCTCATCAACGAATTTCTGTGCGGCCATTGTAATAAATCTCAAATCTGCTTGATGAGCAATAACATCACTGATGAAATCGCGAGTTGTATCTGTGCTAGTACTGAGTTTGTTCAAATCGGATAAGGAACGCTCCTTATCCTCGAGCACGTTTCTGGCTTTGTCCAACCAAATCGAGAATGTCATCAGCTCATTCCTATATAAAACAAATCGATTAAATTCGAAAGACACTAAATTATACTGTAATTACATGAAAGATACTGACTTGAACTTTGTCAGTTCATCTCTCGCACCAATAAGACGTTTCACTAGTTTGTCAGTACGATCTAATGCTTTGTCAAATCGAGTTTTTAAAGATCGACCATTCTTTTCTAATGTGGATACTTCGTCACTAGATAACACGTTGCTGCCAGTCAAGACAACTTGTCGAATCTGATCTAGACAGGATGATACGGGTCGATTATGCGATTCAAGATCCTCCTTTATTTCCTGCAAGTAACACATTTCGTACGTAATTATTTAATTCTATAAAATGAATCAATTGCTCCATTAATATTATATAAATCAATTGCTCGATTACTATTATAATTATATGAGTTCGAATTATAATTATATGAGTTCAAATTATATAATTATTTGAGTTCTATTGCTTACTTTCATGATAATTATTTGTTTTCTCAACTCCTCTACATCTTCTTTGACGGTATCTTGATTCGCCAGTCTATTCTCAACTTCGGAGATCCATTGTAGAAGCTTAGATAGTGTCTCATCGCAGAGCTTGTACTTCTCCTCCACCGCTTGCTGAAGTTGGAAAAAAACAATTCATTTCTATCTACTAATGCAGTTTATTTATTTCGCTACATTTAATGTGCTAGAAAAAAAAATAATTAAAGTAAATCATAAAAATACCGTTATCTTACCAATAACGATATAAGCGTCGTATTAATTAAAGATTAAAGAAATGTAGGTAAGCTTACGACATATCTCACGCATGCAAACACAGGCACACTTTTAACGTACAGGTAAAATACAGTATTAAATGGTAGCTTTAATTTATCTGCAAGAACTGCATATCTCTCGTATCGGATTTTTGATATGCAGTTTAAAGCATAAACGATAACAGTATGAAGAGAACGTAATTGCGTAATAAAACACGTTCCAATAAGCAAATAAATTAAAACGCACAATGACGAAGTAACGATCATGTGATGATGTACTGCATATAATAATGCGTATGATACAGTAATGTACAATGTGGAGAAATTTTCGCTAACTCATGCTAGCGAAAACATAGGTTCGTGATAAGTAAACATAATCATACCTGAAAAAAAGGAAAACATTTAAATATATAATAATTATAACTCTGAATAGATAGGTATTAAAAACTAGTTGGATTAAACGTATATTAACAAGTTTGATAAAATTAAGTCAAAATATACATTTGTTAATTCCATCATAATGTGTTAATTGTACAAATTTTTTGAAGATCAGTAAAATAAAATCAACTGAAAAGAATCCAAGAACTTATTGTTTACATTATTTATTATAAAAAAATCTTTTAATAGATCGTAGAATAATATATTAGGAAGTGCTAATGCGGTGCTTACAATTATGTTGGTCTTGATTACCGTCAAGCGTTTCACATTACTTAACATTACGTTAAAAATATAGGAGAACAAATATTAATCAATCATAATTGTCTTATATTTCTTAATGCAATTCTATTATTTCTTTTATATATTACAAAGATAATTGACTATTATCAATTTTATTTTTTATTCACTAATGCCTTTAATTTATTTGCCACAATCGTTTAACATCCGATTAAATCAATACTTATGAAGGATGATGAAAGGTAAAGAGCAACATGATAATGCATGTCCTTTCAATTAAATCCTTCTTCTCTTTGGATAAGCGTTATTTTGAATGAAAAATGCCAATTTTTTATTTCATACATGCATGCCGTACGCATTAGTATTTTCAACGAATAATATATTTTTTTCCAATTAAAAGAAGTCATTAGCATCTCACGATTGGATCAGACGATCGAAAAATATTTTCATAAAAGTTTTCAAAATAAATTATATAAACTTTCGAATTGCGCTGCACATAAAACAATGAAAATTTTATTGCAAAAAATAAGATAAGTGAGTTAAAATTATTAGCTTAATGATAAAATTAAAGATTAACAATAAAATTATAGATTAATATTACTTAATTGATTAAAAAGGATTAGCGTTGTTGATGCGACAAAACTTGGCTTAGGATTAATGATATTCTGCGTGGTGGAGAAGATTGTTTATGATACGATGTTCGATACTATCCGATGATTTGTAGATCGCTGATTGTAAACGATGAGCTCGAGGAAACGTACGTAGTGTCCAATTAGTATCGTTCGTGATGATGGCCGACCTTTACTGAGCCCATATTAAGGTAATGAAAAAAGGTAAGCACGAAGATAAGTATGGTGTATTACATGATGAGGAAAATCTGAGATAAACCGTTTGATGTGAGCATTCCGATAAAAGGAAGCACGGGGATGATTCCTCTATGAAGTAGAGGGAGAAAGAGATAAGATCAGAGTGAGAATAATTTTAATTTATGCTCATGCACATTACGCGTATTATTCTTCTCAATTTTCGATCGATATGTAATAAAAATGTCATGCGAATGAAAAACGAAGTCTTAGAGGTCCCCATGCGGGACCATCATACCAGCAAGCGACTCTCTTCGCGAATGATAATGATATAAAACTTTACGTCAGGCAAGGCAAGATGTGACAGAGAAAGAATCGCACAACAATAAAAACGTAATGTCGATTCGTGTGACGAGCGTAATGATAATCACATCCAACTCTCGAAGAAGCTGTTAAGAGAATCGTGAGTGAAAACAATAGCAAACGTAAACTTGGGTGAGAAAAAAGGAAACCCAAACAAGAAAAAAAAAAATAAAACGAACGGAGGACAAAGAAGAATCAATTGGTGCAGGAATTGCAGGGATATATAAAAGGCATCATTCTGGTTGGTCCTACTTACCCTAGCTTCGGCGGCGAGTATATAACCCCGCTCCAAGGCCTTCATGAAGTCGATACTGTTGCCATCAATGTCCTCAACTAATCTGCCTCCTATAGAATCTACCTTCCTGCTACTCATTGCTTCTAATAGACTCGCGATATTACCCGTGAACGGATCTTTGATCACGGTGGTGGACGGATCGATTAGGCCCGACTCGATTGCATCCGCCAGCGTGAGACGTCTACGATCTAACACGGAAGTGACAACGAAGGGGTCATAAAAGCTGCCCGTGGTAGGATTGTAAAGATTGAACTGTAGCGCTTCGATGAACGAAACACCATTCCTTGGAGTGATCAACAGGCCGGCTTCCAGAGCCTTGGGTAAGCTGTATAACTTGGACGTAGCAGTGTCCAGCACATTGCCCTTCTCAGCGTCCATCATGCCCTTGCGGAACGCCTCTGGCAATTTTACCAGCTTCTTCTTCTGCGAGTCTTTAATCAATGCCGAGTCCGAGTCTACGATACCGAGACCGACCGCCTCTTTTAGAGTCAATTGTTCGTTCGAGATCGGATCCGTGAATTTGCCCGATTCTAGCGATAGATACTCTTTCTCCACTGCCTCCTCAAAAGTGAAAGGTTCCCTAACGAATACGGTGACATCACCGAAACGCACGAAACGCGGTTCCCTTTTGCTTCCGCCATTTAATTCAATCGTGCCTTTGATGGAGGGATCTACGACATTGTCCGCAATCGCTCTTGCCGTCGTCACAAATCGACCGGTTCTAGGATCTCTTATAATTGATGTATTCGGATCAATTAGTTGATAGTTAATCGCTTCTTCTAAAGTGCATTCTTTGACATTTTTATCGCCGGCTTTAAAAGCTTCTAAGGGTGATCTATGTGCTATTTGTTGCGCTAAAGGTTTATCGATTGTGACCAATAGACCTCTTTCTAAAGCTACATCAATATTAAAAGCGCGTGTCGTCTTAGGATCCAATATTCTTCCTCGAGACACATCGACTGTTCCGTCTTCAATGCCCATTAATAGCGACTTGATTTGTCCGGTCGTCGCATCCTTTAAGGCGGTAGTATCAGGATCTATGAGACCGCAGTTAATCGCTTGAAGCAAATCATGATATTCGTTAATAACGGGATTAGCAAATTTACCACTATCGCTACGGTAAAGGTGATACTTGATTGTCTCCTCAATCGAAAGGGGCGTCTTTGATGTGACGATAAAGCCTTTCTTCGCTGCTTCTTGGAGATTAATCACTTTATCAAGCTCGCGGATGACATACATGCCACGAATGTCATCGATGATGCCCGAGAAGATTGCTTCGGCCAGTGGGATGTATTTATTAGACCTGGTGCACTTGATAATCGATGTCAAGGAATTTATTAGATCTATTTGGCATGACTCAGCTAACGTCAGCTTGCGGTTGCTGGTTGGATGTATAAATTTGCCTGACGAAACATCGTACATATTCATTAATATCGCCTCATATAGGCCAAATCCCATGCTCTCTATATCGACAATAAGACCGAGTTGTAACGCGACCGATAATGAAACTGAACCGCTGGTGCCGGGTTCTTTGAACATGCCGGTGCGCCTATCAATTACGCCAGCACGACATGTTTCCGCCAACGATAATAAACGTTCGCCACGCTTATCCCAATAACACGGTAACGTGGGGCTAATTATACACTTTCTCATCGCTTCATGCAACGTTACGGCTCTACCTGTACTGGGATCGGTGATCTTGCCTGTGTTATCATCGTACAATCCTTGATGGATGGCACGTTGTAAAGATACGGCTGCTCTATTGTCAACGATGAGGCCAGATTCAAAGGCGTCCCTCAGAGATACGTTCCTGTTACCCTTGTTGGGATCTTTGAGATAGCCAGTAGTGCCGTCCATGTAATCAGATTGTATAGCTTCCATTAGTGTCATTGTTTTCCAGATGCTGGACCTCATATCCTTGACGGTAACCGAGTCAGCGTCTATTAGATTCTTTTGAATAGCTTCCAATATTGTTAGGTAAATTCCCGTCTGCGGATCTAAAAATTTATTGGTCTTCTCATCGAGGATGCCCTTTGAAATTGCCTCGCTGAAGCTCATAGGTCTTCTTGTTTCGAGGAGCAAACCACGTTCCAGCGCTTCCTGGAAATCTATAGGTGGTCCTCTGGCATGACTAACTGTTCCGGATTTGGGATCAACTATGGAAGTCTTAATAGCCTTATTGAATGTCATTACATCGATTCCGTTGGGATCTCGTACGATCGCGGTAGTTGCATCTATCACGCCCATTTTAATCGCGCGATCAGTAGGAAGCTTCTCTTGCGTATCAGGTATTGTGAATTGTCCGGTCTTGGGATCGTATAAACCTTTGAAGACAGCATCCGGTAGAGATATTTTACGTTTCGCTGGTACTATAAAGCCGCGATCTAAGGCGTCAGTTAACGAAAGAGGTGCACTGGTACATGGATCTACTGCCATACTGGTCTTTGCGTTAATAAAACCATGTTTGATAGCATCGCCCAAAGATATAATATCGTTGTTTCTCGGATCTTTAATCGATGGACTGTCTTTACTAATAAAGCCTTTCTCCATCGCCTCCTCCAAAGTACACTTATTACCATCAATATTAAAAGTGCCTAATTTTGGATCATAAATTTGAAGAGCTAAAGCTTCCTGTAGCGTCCATGGTTTCACGGTACTTAAAATGTATCCTTTTTCAAAGGCGATGTCCAATGTCATAGAATGCGGATAAGTCAATGTTCCTTTTACTAAATCTATTAGCTTATTTTCCTCTGCTTCATTGAGAGGAATAACATTATCTTTTCTATCGTCTTTTACTACTATAGTAGAGCCATTAACATAACCAATAGCTAATGCCTCCTTCAATGTTATATCTTCACCTGTCATTGGATTCAGAACAAGGCCGGTTTTCGGTGAATAGTATTGCTGAACAATAGCGTCAATCAGCGAAGGCACGAATGGTGTTGTGATAATCAAACGTTTATGAAGCGCTACGTCCAAGGGTAAAAGCTCTCCCGCTTTCGTATCGCGCAAGTGACCTGTACTAGGAATCAACAAGTTCATAGTCAGCGCATCATCCAACGAGACGGATGAACCAGCTTTTGTATCCTCAACCTCGGTAATAAAAGCATCAACAACACTTCTACGAACACCCTCCTCAACGTCGATCAATTGTTTAGTCAGAGGATCTTGTATTTTTCCTGTCTCGGTATCGTAATGACCTTGCCTAATAATAGCTTCTAACGAGATCGGTTTGCGAGAAATAGGTACAATTAGACCTCGTAAAAACGCCGTTGTAATATTGATTTCCGTTCTTGTTTCTGTATTAATGACAACATCCTTGCGAAGATCTATGATGCCGGTCTCCAATGCTTCAGAAAACGGCACGATTTCGTCAGTAATTGGATTTCTCACGCCAAGCACATCAACATCGATAAGTCCTGCATCAATAGCTTCGTTCATAGATAACACTTGTCCCGTTTTTGGATCTTGAATTGTTCCCGTGATGGGATTGCATACGCCAATATCGATAGCTTCTTGCAAATCTAAAGCCTGCGATTCTGCAAACTGTTCTGTATCTGTTTCGTCTTCCGGTTCCTGCTTGATCCATCCCAAACTTACTGCCTCAAAGAAAGGTATCTTTTTACCAGTCTTTGGATCGACCATGTAAGCGACATTTCTGTCTACGAGAGGTCGGCTGATTGCCTCGCGTAGTTTCACGTACAAATCCGTCTTGGATGATAAATCTTTAACGAGTACTCGGTCTGGATCGAAGACTTTCAGGTTCAATACTAAATCATTGAAAGAAGTAATAGTACCCGTTTCCGGATCCAAGAATTTTTCTCTTACAAGATCAAATACTCCAAGTTCTGCAAGAACCTGAGGCGTTAATTCTCTCGTAATGATTATCGAAATGGGTCTTGGCATTTCTTCGTCCGTGATTCTTCTCAATTGGCTATCGTCTTCCATTTTTATCTCTGTAGTTCGGATCTCTTCTACTATTCTTGCATCTGAAAATGGTTTCTGCGTTTCCATCAAGCTCGACGTTTTATCTTCACTTGGAGAATCAACATGAGATTTCTGGGTAATTTGAATTTGGCTTGAAATAATTTTTGCAGGTGGACTTGATTCTTTCTCCTTTGATACAGATAATTTCGTCACGGATGCACTCGGTTTTGACTCTTTAGATTTTCGACTTGAAATTGCATCAACAACTGCTTTTCCAGCCAAGACTGGTGCGGCTACAACTGCCAAGAGACCCATTTTCGTAGCTTCCGCTATGCTAATTGAATGATCCTTTTGATCTCGCGCAATCTTCATTTTTCCAGTGGCAGGATCGAGCAAACCTTTCTCGAGTGCTTCTTTGGTAGTGATAGATTCTTTAGTTTTCACATTATAAAGTACGGAATCAGGTTCGATTAGTCCCACTTTCATTGCTTCTGTCAAATTGTAAGATTCGTTCGTCTCAGGATCTTTAAACATCTCAGTTTTTTCATCGTAAATTTGCTCGACCGCTTCTAACACAGTCAAACTGTTATTGGAATATTTTTTGGGTGTTACAGATTCATTCTTGCTAGATGAAGTATCGAGGATTCCTTCTTCAACGGCTTTAGCAATAGGCATTATGGTACCGGTGCAAGGATCAGTATAAATTCCCTTTTCCATATCTACGAATCCTTTTTCCACTGCGTGATTAAAGGACATCTTGATATCTTTCGTCGTAAATTCCTGTTTAGTTTCAGATACATCCTTAATGATACCTCTTTGTCGTGCTTCTTCAATAGTAATGATATTACCGGTATTAATATCTTGTACTTCCGTTGGATTCTTCAGCGCATAACCTGACAAAAGTTCAACAGTCTTAGTTGTAATAGTATGATATGATGTAACTGTTTCAGTAATGGCAGCTGTATTTTCATCATGAGGCGATTTGATGATGAGTAGACCAGACTCGACAGCTTCGGCAATTGGAATCGGAGTTCCCGTAGTAGGATGGAAGAATATAGCCTTGTCCCTATCAATCAATCCTGATTCTAAAGCCTTCGTTATTTCGATACTGTTAGGAGTCACTGGATATGGTAATGCCATGATAAAATCTCTTTTTATAGCATCCTCCAGTGGTAAGTGCTCTCCGGTAATAGGATGACGTATTTCTTTCTTGCTGATGTCTATCAATCCACGTTTTAATGCAACGGGGAACGTCATTCCCGCCGGTGGTATGTTGAAAGATTTAGTCGGTCCCTTTAATTCAAGGACTTTGTTCTCTATCGCATTCACCAGATCTACACTACCACCTTGCGTTTTGACCAACAATCTCTCTGCATCGACAGTATCATTCGCAATGGCGGATTGCAACGTTTCCGTACGGCCATCAACAGTGAACATCAAGTTAGATAGAGGATCCACTATCTCACATACTATAGCCTCATTGAGAGTGAGATGTGCGCCTGTTTCTGGATGAACGATTTTACCTTCTACAGGATCTAGCAAACCTTGCGTATACAAGCTGGGCACGGACAAGCTTTTCACCAAAGGTACTAATATATGCGCGCTCTCCGGATCAAGGATTCCACGATCGATAGCCTGCTTGATACTAAGCACATCGCCTCTTTGTGGATCCCTGATCTGACCTTGATTGGCGTCTATTCGGTTATCACGGATTGCTTCAGAAAGAGTGATCGGATCTCCTTTCTCATTACACATTTTCTTCGCGAAGGTATCTGCTGTTTCCATGTCGATGAAACCACTTTGCAACGCTTCCTTGACATTTACTATCCTCTTTCGCATCTTCTGCAAAACGATAGGTTTCGCTTCTTGTTCCGGACTTTGTGAGAGTGTTTTCGCTTTACCAATCGTAACTTGATATCTCGGCTCAATCGTGACTCGCGCTCTGGTCTTCGTGCCTAAACTCTCGCCATCCGTAACGTCATTGGCGGATTTCGACAAATCAATCAAAGTTGTATTCTTAACGTCCTCTTTCGATATGCAAACTTTTCCAGGTTCATCGTCATATACATGTTTCACAACAACTTTTTCATTTTCATCAGGCGTACCACTTGCAGATTCAATAATTGGTGAAGTTGAGTTATCATCCATCGGAATGATGCCACGTTCAATGGCGACTTCTCTTGGCACCTTCTTACCAGTTACTGGATCTTTGACCATCGTTCTCTGTACCGCTTCTATGGCGGCTGCGGTAGCCGCAAGGGGAGCACCGAGAACAGCCACCACTCCAAACTTTGCCGCATCGATCAGTGATATCTTTCTGCCATCATCAATTTTATATTCGCATGTATTAGTATTCAGAATACCACGGTTAACAGCTTCCGCTATACCAATGTCTTTACCTGTCGTTGGATCTTTGATGATTACAGCAGTGGACGGTATCGTTCCTTCGGAAACTGCGGCTAAGAGATTCGCAGATTTTCCAGTTTTTGTGGAGATTACTAAGGCCGTTCCTGGATCATAAATCACTCCCTGAGTTACCTGCACCGGATCCGGCATAGACATTTCGTCGCTAACTTTTATTTCCATTTGCTGAGAAGGATCGCCAACACGCGTCAACTCCACTTTATCGGGCTCGCCTGAAACCTTTGTGATCTGAAGAAGCCTCTGATTAGTGCTATCGCTATCTATGCTCGATTCGCCTTCCAATATGATCAATCCATTCGCAATTGCTTCTCTCATCGAGATTTTTTGTGGATAACAATAGTGACCTGTAGAATCCAAAATATTCTTTTCTAAGCTTCGCACCAACGACACCTTTCTTCCGTTGGAGGGATCAATAACAAAACCAGAACTTGGATTGATGATCTGCAAGTTAATACACTCTTCAAAAGAAACCAATCTGTCAGTGCCTGGAATTATGAAAAGACCTGTAACAGAATCAAGTAGTTTCCTATCGATAGCTTCGGCGAGTGTCCAACCATCCGTGGGTAGTTCGAACACCTGTTTATTCGTGAAAACACGTTCGTTTTCTATGAATTTCGTAATCTCTGACGTGCGATTCGTAGTTGGTGTAATTATTTCTGATGTGATTATTTCCATATCTTGTTTTTCATCACGCAAAGGTGATTTGAGATCATGACTTACTACATGAGTTTGATCAAACGAACTCTTTTTCGATGTTATTTCGGAAGTTGACCATTTGGTCGAGTCGCTAACTTTTGTCGATGATGAGATATCTTTAGTTGAATCTCGCGCGAAAGAAACAGAATCAGTTGTCATTAATGGTGCGATCGTCATCATAACTGAGGATGACTCTTTCATCGGTGTAGACGATGCTCGCGGAGCAATTTCTTTGGTAATAATAGTGGTAATCGTGCCAATTGCTCTAGGTGGTGATTCACTTCTTCTACTTTTGGATACTTCACCGATATTTGTTGTCAGAGTACTTTCAAAAGTTGTATGTAATGATGAATCCGAAATATGTTCTTGCGAATGTTGGTGAACGTCATCACCAAGCAAACTTTGCTCAAAGGCGTCTTTGATGGTCATCGTCACTCCCGAATCAGGATCCCTAAATTCATTTTTACTTTCATCGATCAAACCGCTGCTTAACGCTTCTTCATAACTGATTTTGAAATCTCTTGTAACAGTTTCACCCGTTTGCAAAGTCGTCACGTATCTTCTGATGGTTTTCGTTACAGTTTGCGTGGTGACTGCGATATTCAATAAACTGGTAAGCAGTGCGGCACCGTCGGGAGTAATGAGTCCTCGCTTGATCGCCTCCTCTAAAGGCACTATTCTCTTGCTACGCGGATCCAACAATTGACCAGACTTAGAATCTAACAATCCAAGCAGCACAGCCTCGAGAACGCTTGTCTCGCGTCCGTTCTCGGTAATGCCGATGCCGCGACTTAGCATCTCCAATACTTCCGGCCTAATATAACCTTGTTCTTCTGCTTCGCTTAATGAAACGGTCTTTCCAGTTTTCAGATCAATCGTGAAAGTACCACCGGACTTTGAGCTGATCAAACCTTTCAATAATGCTGCATTCAAACTAATGTATTCGCCGGAAACTGGATCTTTGAAGCCATCGATGTCGAAAATACTTTTCTGAGTCACCGAAGTGATCAGACCTTTCTCGTTGGCTTGAGGAATAGGGAACTTTTCATCCTTCAACATGTCGCGATATGTGCCGTCGACTTTAATTATACCGCTGGTTAAGGCATCGGCTAGCGTAATCATTTCACCGGTTCGAGTATCTACTATGGACTTGATGTTCTCCGAGTCTAAGACTCCGCGTGATATGGCCTCCAATATCGTTAATTTATCACGATGTGCTGGACTGACGATTTTACCTTTGTCGTCGATAATTTCTAGATCACAACAGTCTTTGAGCGTCATCGGCTTGACAATTAATTGTCGACGACGAGCTTCCTTAAACGGCAGCTTCTCCATCGACAAGCCGTGCATGTATCTACCACTTTTGGCATTCAATATACCGTGTTTCATAGCTTCAGCCACCGTCATCTTGCTGTCGCTCCTCGTATCTACAATCTCTTTCACATTCGCATCAATAATGTTTTTGTCGACGGCTTCGTCCAATGGATAAGACTCGCCGGTAATCCTATCGACGATGCGGCCGGTCCGATCATCCACAAGACTCTGCGATATTGCGTCGGAGAGTGCGATGGCACTACGAGTTACCCTAACAGTCACGTCTACCTTAGTAAGATAGCCGCGTGAGTATGCCTCCTCAATCGAAATCCGTTCGCCATTCTCGGCGATGACCTCTCCCGTGGCCGGGTCCAACAAGCCCTTTTTCATCGCATCGACAACGCTAAATCCCATGGTGGCGGCATTACTTCCGTCACCATCGTCACGACATGCTGTCGTTACCTTAACTCGATCCGCGATGTCGGCCCGTTCGTCGTTGAACTCCTCACTCATTGCCGCGAGCATAGACACCCGACCATTTGGAGTTAACAGCCAATCGGCCATCTCCGCGTTGATGATACCGTCACGCACGGCCTCCTGGATCGACATGTTCGTTCTGCCATCGCTCGATGTCACTATCCTAAGGTTCCTAACATCGAGGATCTTGAGCCGAATCGCCTCGCGCACGCTAAGGACCTTGCCGGTGCTCTGATCTATGATACACTTAATGTCCATCACGTGAACCGATTCGATAATATTACCCCTATCGTCGACCCCTCTAAGCTCGCTACTAAACCCGTCCACAACGGATGAAAACTCGTGCTGCTGTTGTCTGTCATAGTTCGTCGTACCGCTCTCGTGCGAACGTTTGAGCAGGATATCACCGACGCCGTCGGGTTGAACCGCACCCAGACTGGTGATCTCGTCATTAGGACGATACACGGCCTGCTCCGCATTGTAACTTCTCTTCGAAGTCTCGCTCGAGAAAGTCGTTTCGGTGGACTCATGTCTCTCGGAGGTATATCTGCGGCAAGAGCCATTGAGAAACGTGAATGTTATATCGAAACGTACTACAAACCCGTAAGAAAGATTAAATCCTAACTATCGATCTAAAATAATTGGAGAATAAGCTCCTATTGTAAATAGGAATTCTATGTAGCAGATGAGGCACTTTTCTACTGTGAGTACGAATAGGCCATATTTTTAACTTTTAGCACAAATCATACTCACTGCGACTGGGTGTAGTGTGTGGTTGTGGATGTATAACGCTCCTCGCTAGTAGTGCTTTCATATATGTTGAACTCTGTGCGGAACGTCCGCAGCGGCCTTTGTTCTTGAAGAACACGCTGAAAGTAAACATTTTGCCACTTGCAGAAAATACAATGTCTAATCTTGTGTTTTACCGTTTATGTTTATATAATATTTGTTTCTACATTGATGAATGTAATGTTCAAAATTCATTCATAATGTTCAAAATCATTTAACAAATGCAGTCTCAGATTTTCTCTGCTAAAAACATATAATTAAAAAATAACTTTCAATGTAAAATTATCTATTTTAAATATTTAGCTTTCATTAAAATAAAATTTAATTCTTGGATTAATGAAATTTATTCGCGAAAGCTGTTTATATAAAATGTAACGCCGTCCTTCTAAAGATACTGGGTACAACTGGGTCAACTTGTCGATCTTCGATTCCGAAAGCCGATTAACAATCGCGTCAGCCACGCTGTAATCATCAACAGACATCCCGCATGCATTTAAATGAGTCAGCCTGCACGGTGCACAAGTTTACATGCGGCCAGCGTATAATTGGACCACGTGCCTCGTCGTGATCTTTCAGCCGAGACGGGGATTCTTAAATATAGCATTGCTCACGCATGCGCCGAATGTACCGCTCTTACGCAAAATTTTATCCGACACGACGCACGTCTTGCTTTTAATTACCTAATTCCGAATGAGAGGCTTAATCATAAGTACCAAAACGTATAATTTCAGATGCGATGCTTGCTTCATAATCATAGGCGTAGGTCTACGTTATCTACTTATGTCATCGCGAAGACAGATGCTGTCTTTCCCATCTTCAACTTATGAACTCAAGAAGACATGGGAGAACATGTGCGATCTGATGTGAAACGAAGAACAAAGCCGGGAACCTTGAAATCTCGGAACATAATTCAGATACGCGAATATTGTGCAAAATTTTTATTAATATGTACGTACATAATCAACAAATCTTATTGCAAGCATATGATAATGATTAAGTAGCTACGTCCAATATCGAAAACAGGACGCAAACAGGATGCATAGATATTTAATAAAAAATGACGAATTGACTATAAATCTGGAAAGAATTTTAAGACATAATTATTGCTGTGCGAATAAATTAAAGGAAGTTAAATTAATGTCTCAAAATTGCTTAAGTAAAAAATTGTGATTTACTACAATTTATTCGAATATCTTTCGGATTCATCAACAAATCATCTTCATTTTTTTGATGACGTTAACAGGATTAATTTATGCCATGCGGATGAAGAAATTCATATCAATAAAAATAAAATTAATGAAGAACGTAAGAAATATTAAGAATGACTATGAAACAATCCGTAACCAATTTACTTGCATCGTAAATCTAACCAGAAGAATTATATTTAATTAGTGTGATCGATAACCTTCGGACAATTGATCTATGCCAGTTGCACGGTTATATTGACGAAAAATTAATTTACTTGCTTTCGTTGTCGAGCGATTTATATATAGCTAAAATTAATTTAAAAAGAAAAAAGTCATTCAACTTGGCTAGATAATGTAAACACGGTATATTTCGAGTGTTGCGTCTTATTGTTGAACAATTTCGTCGTCGATTCGTCGCACACGTGTAATTCCTTACGCAGAATCATTTAAAAGAATTTACGTTGTTGCGATAAATGGAATTCAAATAAAAGATGACGATTGTTTTATTTTCAGAGTGTCAGTATAATTTTCGAATTTAACATAACTTAAGATTAAAGTCTGGTTCTATCAATATAGTTTAATTTGATAATCTCAATTCGACTTCCTGTTTATCTTTTTTTAATTTTTAGAATTGGAAAAAGATAAGCAATAAATTAAATCAAGATTAAAGTTAATCTTATTTCGAGTCTATTTTGGAGTCTAAAGTATTTTAAAACGAACTATCAAAAGTAAAAGATTGCGAAAATGTTAACACGGAAATAAATTCCAATCTAGAAGATCTCTCTCTCTCTCTCTCTCTCTCTCTCTCTCTCTCTCTCTCTCTCTCTCTC